CAACCAACCTCAAGAGCCAGACAAGAGCATTAGTTACCATGACGGGTCAGGTCGCATGCTTAACTCCACAGAACCTATTAGAACCCTCTTTACTAAACACGACTTGTGCCAGCCCTGATAGGCCACCTTGTAAACATTTAGGACTTATATACTGCAATTTCACTGCTGATATGATTATGGTTCATAATTCATGTTAATATAAAGTTGCACGCCAACATATAGCGTAAACATATCCTATTTCATTTCAACCCTGTGCATTCCCAATTAAGCAGTTTGCTTGTTTTGTTGATTGTTTTATAATGCCTAACCCTGTTATGCCATGTAACAAAAACACTATGACCCTAGTTGTAGGTTGAGTGGTTTCTCACTAATACTCAAAAACAATATCAGGCAATGGCTCTTTAAACAGAAACAATCTTACATGCATTTACCAAACCCTTCACACTATTACTGGAGCCAATATGCTATGTTTTTTTTTTAATTATTTATCTTTGGTGAGCAAGTAAAAGGAAAACAATACATATAGTGCAGCATGCACCACAATTACAATTTGGCATGCGTTAAAAGCCACATAAAGAACAGTGCATCCCCTCTGCCTGTGATATAATTAAGGTAGATAATGTATTAACTTAATTATCCCCAGCAAGAAAAAACACACATTTTATAAAGTACCATAAGTACCCCAAAACACAACATTTCTCCATCTTACATCCCCTGACAGCCCTGATCTGGGTGAAAAATATATCAGAAAATTACCCAGATCAGATCAGGAGTTCAGAAATATGGAAGCCATATTTTTGCCCAGGCGAACCCAGGATTTCATGCCCAAAACAGTTCCATATATTCGCGACTAAGTGCCACTGGAGGACCGACCGGGAACCGCAAGGTTTTCATGCCGAATATAGTTCCAGGGCATTCGCAGCTAAGTCCCCCTGAAGTCTATTTGCTATTTTAATCCAATCAACAAGATGGCCGCCACCACGTGTTCGAATGTCGAATGGCGGCCACTTCGACTGTTCGGGAGTTGAAGAATCCTTGTCTAAAGTCCCAATAGCCACAAATAGGGTCTCTCAGCCAAAACAAATTTAAAGGGGCCATAGTCACAGGGCAAACGATTGGCAAGCAGTCCTCTCCAAAAACCAGTGGCGAGGTCACTTTCGCCACATAATGGAATACATTTTTTATTTAAATAAATAAAATAAGGTGTCAAGTTATTTGCATATCACAATAAAATGTGATAAAATAATTATATAATAATTATATAATGTGGGATCGTGGTCTGTCGAGGTTGCTGAAACTTGTAGATATATAAGGATGCAGATTCACAATATAGTTACACAGATCTCAATTAAGGGACTGACTGAGCGTTGTAGAGAAAAAAAAAGTTACTGTATTTCTAAAGTAAAGCATTATAACACAATAAGTTTGAATGATCCCAAATCTAGTCCGTCTCCCCATGAGGAACTGGAATTCTATGGGTTACGGCCAGGGCCGGTGCAAGGATTTTTGCCGCCCTAGGCAAAAGAAAGATTTGCCGCCCCCCCCCCGGAACATCGCAATGCCCCACCCATATGAACTAATGCCAGTGCTGCACACAGTGTGTGTTTACATTAAAAAGCCTGCAGGGACAAACTATAGACACCAGAACAACCTTATTAAGCTGCAGTGGTTCTGGGGACTATAGTGTCCATTTAACGTGAGGTAAATTAGAGATTAGTGTCACTAATAATATACTAGATTGCCTACTTACAATCAGATGAGGATGGTGATGGGCTCTGGCTGCAGTCTGGCTCCACTGGTCTGGTGTAGAACAGGATCTCTGGAGGCTGTTTGTAACTGTGGTCACAAAATTCAATGTTCTGGGAGAACGGGAAGCAGCTCCATTTTTGGGGGCCTCTTACATAGCTCAAGGTCTGGGCCCCAGGGCCTGACGGTGAGTATGCCCATAAAGCCCACCCATAAGGCCACCTACATGTTCCACCCATGAACTCACAGGGAGTAGAGTGTGTAGGGGATGTGTTATGTGTTATGTGTTACTGTAGAGGATCTAATGTGTGTGCTTACGGAATGTAGTGTATAGGGATACCAGTTTGTGTAGGTGATGCAGTGTTGTTTGTGTAAGGGATAGAAAGCAGTGAGTGTTTGTGTATAAGGGATGTATTGTGTGTTTCTTGTTGTGTGTTAGGGATGCATTGTGTGAATCTGTGTTTGTATGCATAAGGGATGCAAAGTGTGTTTCTGTGTATGTAAGGGATGCAGTGTGTGTGTCTGTAAGGGGTGTGTTGAGTGTGTGTAAGAGATGCATTGTGTTTCTGTGTGTGTGTGTAAGAGAAACAGTGTGTGTTTGCATGTGTGTGTAAGGGATGTGTTGTGTGTGTTCTGTGTATATGTGCAAAGGATGCATTGTCTTTATGTGTAAGGGTTGCATTGTGTGTTTCTCTGTGTGTAAGGGAAGCATGTTGTGTTTCTGTGTGTATAGGGATGCACTGTGTGTGTGTGTGTGCGCGTGGTGTGAAAGAGCTCCCTGTCCCCCTGTCCTATAGAGCTCTCCCTTCCATTCCTTAGAGATCTCCCCTGCCCCTTAGTGGTCTCTCCTCTCCCCCCCACCTCCCTTAGTGGTCTCCTTTTCTCCCCGACTTTCCATTAGTGGTCTCTCCTCTATAGAGCGCTCAGGCGGCTGCAGAATTTAAAGGGCCGGTGATGGGGGCGCAGGGCGCCCCCTCCTATATGGCGCCCTAGGCGACTGCCTAGTTCGCCTTATAGGAAGCGCCGGCCCTGGTTACGGCTGCCCGCCATTTTAGGTTGCAGCAGATCGCCCCCGGCTTGGAGCTTTTTAGCCCTCTTTACCATATCAATCTGGAGTGCTGAGATTGAACCCCTCTGATATCAGCAAGGATATGTGGGTCAAATAGGGTGAGTAAATGGTGTCAGGATTACAATTGATCAAACACACAGTATTAGTAAAACACTCAAGAATAAGGATAACGTCTAACTGGACCTTAGAATGGACCAGAGAATAGTCAAAATACTAGCCAAGGTAAGGAGCACAGAACGAACCACAGTTGCAAGGAATAGCCAATAGTCAAGGATACCAGAATTCAAGGAAGTCAGAACGAAGCCAAAGTCAATAACCAAAGAAACACGATCAGGAACACTTGGATAACCAGCAAAGGGAAACCACGACAGGGCAATGAGTAGAAGAAATTAGTGAGTTTAAATATCAGACATGCCGGTGGAAGCCAGCCACTGCAGATCCACACTGTTATGTAGTGCCACGCCTGTCCTAGGTGGTAGCGACGTCAATGTGTTTTGGGGTCAGAGACCAAGTATGGCCAATGAGATTCACATTGGCCATACTTGGTCTCTGACCCCAAAACACATTGACGTCGCTACCACCTTGGACAGGCGTGGGACTACATAACAGTGTGGATCTGCAGTAGCTGGCTTCCACCGGCATGTCTTATGACATAGGACCGCTAAGCAGCACTTCTCCTAGGTGAATTATGTTGTGCATAGCATATGGAGAGGACAAACACGTGACAAAGGTAAGCTGTGAGAGCTCAGCCAACAGCTGTCTGGTCTCCTCAAGTGAGAAAACAACTATTCTATATTTAAGGAAATAGGTGGGGCAAGTTATTAGCTACCGCTCATAAACAAAGACAACAAACAATGTTTATTCCCAAAATAAAGAATTCTTAATATGTCATGGTTTACACCACAGAAGGGAATTGCTGAGGCCTTTTGTTAATTTTACCAATCCCTATACAACTTAATTAAAAAAAAATCTGATAAACAAGAAATACAGGCATAAACAATTTGATACTAGGAACTTCCCTGATGTTTCCGATCTTTGGATGAACCCTTTTCAACTGATGAATTGGCTAATGCCATTCATTCCCACCCCTGCAAATAAAAGTCCTGGTCCAGATGGCTTCTCATCTTTGTATTATAAGATCTTTGAGAAGGAGTTCAGTCCAAACTTTTTTGAAGCCCCACATTCTATATTTTTATGTTTCTATGATTATCCCAGCACATGCCTAGGTCCAATCTAG